GCATTTTGATTTATAGCATTGTCTATGAAATGTTTATTTGCGAATTGACATCCTAATAATTATGATAATTCCGTATTCTTGGATTTCTATAAGAGTTTTTCTATACATACTAGATTGGCAATTATGCTATAATGTCTTTACGAACTGCTACCTTTCTAAATTTGAGCCAAAAATATTTGACTGGGTATTTTTTAAATATTATTGAAAATGACTGTTATTAATGGTTTCAATGAAATTCATATTAATAATTGCAGTGATATGTTGAGTACATGATATTGCTGCTTTTGAATGTTTAAAGAGATTTAGAAATACTTTAAGTATGCAAGTGGACTCATCTGGTTCCCCGGTGAGGTATAAGTGGTCCTATCCGGTCGCAGGTAGGGATTAAGTGGACTCATCCGGTACACTGGTGAGGTATAAGTGGACCTGCAGGGATTAAGTAGAACTATTTGGGACGTCGATAGGGATTAAGTTGACCCATCAGGACGCTGATGGGGTATATAGGTGACCTACTTAAGCCGCCAGTAGGGTATTTTGTAAAATCCTTTGAATTACGCATTGCCGTTAAAATGTTATACGCATTTCAATTATTCGAATTATACTTAATTATGTATTTTTGAAAGTGAAACTGTTGATGCATTTCTGTTAATAGATCTCCTTTTTGAAAATATTTATATCATTCAACCATGATTATTCTTAGGATTATGATAGAAGGTGAAGCACAACATTGGTGGCGAATGGCAAAAGGAGTATTGGTCAAAGAAAATAAACCCTTGACTTGAGAAGGATTTTTAGAGGCATTTAATGAAAAGTATTTCCCAGATTTTATTCAAGACCAAAAAGAAACAAAATTTCTGGAATTAATTCAAGGAAACCGGACAGTAGCACAGTACGAGGCCAAGTTTACTGAATTGGCCAGGTTTGCACCACATATGATTAACAATGAGGCAAGAAAGATGAAAAAAATTGAAAGGGATCTCAGACCAGCTATTAGAAGCAGAATATCAATCTTAAAATTGAGAACTTATGCTGAAATAATGGATCGAGCCCAAATTGTCGAAAAATATTGCGAAGATTATCAAAAGATGAAAAATCAGAAAAGTCAGATTAGACCCACACCATCTAATCGACAACAGTTTGAAAGGGCAAACAAGAAGCCAAGACCCTTGCCACTTCAAAGCCCAATAGAACCATGTAAAAAATGTGGGAAAAAGCATGGATCGAGCCCTTGTTATTGGAATACTGGAGCCTGTTTTAAATGTGGAAAATTGGGGCACCATATCAGAGAATGTCCCAGCCTACAAATGCAACAGCTTCCAAAGCATGGAGAGATAACTCAAAAGCCTCAAATGAAAGGAAGAGTATTTGTGATCACCCAGCAAGACGCTCAGGCCTCAAAATCAGTGATCCAAGGTACTCTTATTATCTTTCAAAAAGTAACTCATATTTAATTGATCTTGGATCTACTCATTCATTTGTGTCACCACACTTTGCATGCCACTTAAAGGTAGAACCAGAACAATTAGAATACATTCTAGAGTTAGCCACACTAATGGGAAATTCAATTGACACCAATATAGTGTACAAATCCTGTATAATAAAGATAGAAAAAAAGGAACGGTTGGTTGATTTAATACTGCTAGAAAATCAAGATTTTGATGTAATCTTAGGCATGGATTGGCTTTCTGCATACCAGGATTGATTGTTACAAGAAAATGGTTACCTTTAGTATTCTGAATCTACCAGCA